GGTGCAGTTGAGGACCAGCTTTTAGCTTTCGCTTTAGTTTCAGCTTAAGCTTCAGCACCGCGGACAGCTCCCATCGAACCCTCTCTTTCTGCTGAGAGACCAGAGAGAGCCCAGAGAGAGACCAGAGAGAGACCAGAGAGAGACCAGAGAGAGACCAGAGAGAGACCAGAGAGAGACCAGAGAAAGACCAGAGAGAGACCAGAGAGAGACCAGAGAGAGACCAGAGAGAGACCAGAGAGAGACCAGAGAAAGACCAGAGAGAGACCAGAGAGAGACCAGAGAGAGACCAGAGAGAGACCAGAGAGAGACCAGAGAAAGACCAGAGAGAGACCAGAGAGAGACCAGAGAGAGACCAGAGAGAGACCAGAGAGAGACCAGAGAGAGACCAGAGAGAGACCAGAGAGAGCCCAGAGAGAGCCCAGAGAGAGACCAGAGAGAGACCAGAGAGAGACCAGAGAGAGACCAGGGAGACCAGAGAGAGACCAGAGAGAGAGACCAGAGAGAGACCAGAGAGAGAGACCAGAGAGAGACCAGGGAGACCAGAGAGAGACCAGAGAGAGACCAGAGAGAGACCAGAGAGAGACCAGAGAGACCAGAGAGAGACCAGAGAGAGACCAGAGAGAGACCTGCTGCTGCTACCAGGAGGAGTTCACTTTTACATAGAAGTCAACAGGAGCCAAACTTCACCACGAGCACTTCCCTATTGGGCTTCGTTGAGCTAGCATGTTAGCATGTTAGCATTGTCCGTCTGTAAACAGCGACTCCTCCATGGTCAGTTGATCTTTAGCCCTGTTTCGTCCCTGTTTCTTTAAAGCTGAGGTCCAAAAACCTTTAGACTCAAAGACATTTCTGGCTGTTGAGCTGCAGACACACACACACTCTGTTCACTGTGGAACCTGCGGGTCTTCACACCGAGGGATCTCTCTCTGCATCGAGTCGTGTGTGATCCGTGACCCACTGATGTTTTGAATCAATAACGACTCGAGCAGTTTCCATTTTAATTATGTTCTATTTTTAAACTTCAGGAAAAACAAGAGAAGAACAAACTCCTGCTTCGCCGGCTTCAGGGTTTCCATGGTGACCCGGTCCACAGCCTCAGTCCTGGGTCTACAGCCTCAGTCCTGGGTCCACAGCCTCAGTCCTGGGTCCACAGCCTCAGTCCTGGATCCACAGCCTCAGTCCTGGGTCTACAGCCTCAGTCCTGGGTCTACAGCCTCAGTCCTGGGTCTACAGCCTCAGTCCTGGGTCTACAGCCTCAGTCCTGGGTCCACAGCCTCAGTCCTGGGTCCACAGCCTCAGTCCTGGGTCCACAGCCTCAGTCCTGGGTCTACAGCCTCAGTCCTGGGTCTACAGCCTCAGTCCTGGGTCTACGGCCTCAGTCCTGGGTCCACGGCCTCAGTCCTGGGTCTACGGCCTCAGTCCTGGGTCTACGGCCTCAGTCCTGGGTCTACGGCCTCAGTCCTGGGTCTACGGCCTCAGTCCTGGGTCTACGGCCTCAGTCCTGGGTCTACGGCCTCAGTCCTGGGTCTACGGCCTCAGTCCTGGGTCTACAGCCTCAGTCCTGGGTCTACAGCCTCAGTCCTGGGTCTACTGCCTCAGTCCTGGGTCTACGGCCTCAGTCCTGGGTCTACAGCCTCAGTCCTGGGTCTACTGCCTCAGTCCTGGGTCTACAGCCTCAGTCCTGGGTCTACAGCCTCAGTCCTGGGTCTACAGCCTCAGTCCTGGGTCTACTGCCTCAGTCCTGGGTCTACAGCCTCAGTCCTGGGTCTACGGCCTCAGTCCTGGGTCTACAGCCTCAGTCCTGGGTCTACAGCCTCAGTCCTGGGTCTACAGTCTCAGTCCTGGGTCTACAGCCTCAGTCCCGGGTCTACAGCCTCAGTCCTGGGTCTACAGCCTCAGTCCTGGGTCAGCCTCAGTCCTGGGTCTACAGCCTCAGTCCTGGGTCTACAGCCTCAGTCCTGGATCAGCCTCAGTCCTGGGTCTACAGCCTCAGTCCTGGGTCTACAGCCTCAGTCCTGGGTCAGCCTCAGTCCTGGATCTACAGCCTCAGTCCTGGGTCTACAGCCTCAGTCCTGGATCAGCCTGGTCTACAGCCTCAGTCCTGGGTCTACAGCCTCAGTCCTGGGTCTACAGCCTCAGTCCTGGGTCAGCCTCAGTCCTGGATCTACAGCCTCAGTCCTGGGTCTACAGCCTCAGTCCTGGATCAGCCTCAGCCTCAGTCTGGGTCTACAGCCTCAGTCCTGGGTCTACAGCCTCAGTCCTGGGTCTACAGCCTCAGTCCTGGGTCTACAGCCTCAGTCCTGGATCAGCCTCAGTCCTGGGTCTACAGCCTCAGTCCTGGGTCTACAGCCTCAGTCCTGGGTCTACAGCCTCAGTCCTGGGTCTACAGCCTCAGTCCTGGGTCTACAGCCTCAGTCCTGGGTCTACTGCCTCAGTCCCGGGTCTACAGCCTCAGTCCTGGGTCTACAGCCTCAGTCCTGGGTCAGCCTCAGTCCTGGATCTACAGCCTCAGTCCTGGGTCTACAGCCTCAGTCCTGGATCAGCCTCAGTCCTGGGTCTACAGCCTCAGTCCTGGGTCTACAGCCTCAGTCCTGGGTCTACAGCCTCAGTCCTGGGTCTACAGCCTCAGTCCTGGGTCAGCCTCAGTCCTGGATCTACAGCCTCAGTCCTGGGTCTACAGCCTCAGTCCTGGATCAGCCTCAGTCCTGGGTCTACAGCCTCAGTCCTGGGTCTACAGCCTCAGTCCTGGGTCTACAGCCTCAGTCCTGGGTCAGCCTCAGTCCTGGATCTACAGCCTCAGTCCTGGGTCTACAGCCTCAGTCCTGGATCAGCCTCAGTCCTGGGTCTACAGCCTCAGTCCTGGGTCTACAGCCTCAGTCCTGGGTCTACAGCCTCAGTCCTGGGTCTACAGCCTCAGTCCTGGGTCTACAGCCTCAGTCCTGGGTCAGCCTCAGTCCTGGATCTACAGCCTCAGTCCTGGGTCTACAGCCTCAGTCCTGGGTCTACAGCCTCAGTCCTGGGTCTACAGCCTCAGTCCTGGGTCTACAGCCTCAGTCTTGGGTCTACAGCCTCAGTCCTGGGTCTACAGCCTCAGTCCTGGGTCTACAGCCTCAGTCCCGGGTCTACAGCCTCAGTCCTGGGTCTACAGCCTCAGTCCTGGGTCAGCCTCAGTCCTGGGTCTACAGCCTCAGTCCTGGGTCTACAGCCTCAGTCCTGGATCAGCCTCAGTCCTGGGTCTACAGCCTCAGTCCTGGGTCTACAGCCTCAGTCCTGGGTCAGCCTCAGTCCTGGATCTACAGCCTCAGTCCTGGGTCTACAGCCTCAGTCCTGGATCAGCCTCAGTCCTGGGTCTACAGCCTCAGTCCTGGGTCTACAGCCTCAGTCCTGGGTCAGCCTCAGTCCTGGATCTACAGCCTCAGTCCTGGGTCTACAGCCTCAGTCCTGGGTCTACAGCCTCAGTCCTGGGTCTACAGCCTCAGTCCTGGGTCTACAGCCTCAGTCCTGGGTCTACAGCCTCAGTCCTGGGTCTACAGCCTCAGTCCTGGGTCTACTGCCTCAGTCCTGGGTCTACTGCCTCAGTCCTGGGTCTACGGCCTCAGTCCTGGGTCTACGGCCTCAGTCCTGGGTCTACGGCCTCAGTCCTGGGTCTACAGCCTCAGTCCTGGGTCTACAGCCTCAGTCCTGGGTCTACAGCCTCAGTCCTGGGTCTACAGCCTCAGTCCTGGGTCTACAGCCTCAGTCCTGGGTCTACAGCCTCAGTCCTGGGTCTACAGCCTCAGTCCTGGGTCTACAGCCTCAGTCCTGGGTCTACAGCCTCAGTCCTGGGTCTACTGCCTCAGTCCTGGGTCTACAGCCTCAGTCCTGGGTCTACGGCCTCAGTCCTGGGTCTACAGCCTCAGTCCTGGGTCTACGGCCTCAGTCCTGGGTCTACAGCCTCAGTCCTGGGTCTACAGCCTCAGTCCTGGGTCTACAGTCTCAGTCCTGGGTCTACAGCCTCAGTCCCGGGTCTACAGCCTCAGTCCTGGGTCTACAGCCTCAGTCCTGGGTCAGCCTCAGTCCTGGATCTACAGCCTCAGTCCTGGGTCTACAGCCTCAGTCCTGGATCAGCCTCAGTCCTGGGTCTACAGCCTCAGTCCTGGGTCTACAGCCTCAGTCCTGGGTCTACAGCCTCAGTCCTGGGTCAGCCTCAGTCCTGGATCTACAGCCTCAGTCCTGGGTCTACAGCCTCAGTCCTGGATCAGCCTCAGTCCTGGGTCTACAGCCTCAGTCCTGGGTCTACAGCCTCAGTCCTGGGTCTACAGCCTCAGTCCTGGGTCTACAGCCTCAGTCCTGGGTCAGCCTCAGTCCTGGATCTACAGCCTCAGTCCTGGGTCTACAGCCTCAGTCCTGGGTCTACAGCCTCAGTCCTGGGTCTACAGCCTCAGTCCTGGGTCTACAGCCTCAGTCCTGGGTCTACAGCCTCAGTCCTGGGTCTACAGCCTCAGTCTTGGGTCTATAGCCTCAGTCCTGGGTCTACAGCCTCAGTCCTGGGTCTACAGCCTCAGTCCTGGGTCTACAGCCTCAGTCCTGGGTCTACAGCCTCAGTCCTGGGTCTACAGCCTCAGTCCTGGCTCCAGACTGAGGCAGCAGCAGTGATAAAGGACACCAAGCTCCACTTCATTATTCCTTGTTCTGCACAGAGCGACTAAATACCACCTCAAAGAGAGATCACTGACCACCCCCTGCAGGCACTCAGGAGGACACACACACACACACACACAGACACACACACACACACACACACACACACACACACACACACAGACACACAAACACACAGTTATGTCCTGTGGTATTTACTCCAGCTGCAGAGTCCAGAGAGCAAAGACCGCCCCAGGGTCTGTCCTACACAGAAAAGGTGGTCTCTCTCTGGTCTCTCTCGGGTCTCTCTCTCGGGTCTCTCTCGCGGGTCTCTCTCGGGTCTCTCTCGGGTCTCTCTCGGGTCTCTCTCGGGTCTCTCT